GATCGCCATGGATGAGAGAATGAGAAGGGTTGCTCAAGCAGGAAATATCGACGCCTTGTATGCACTGATTCAAGAGAATCCATTCGTTTTGGAAACCTTTTATGAATTCCCTTATGTTGACACTCCATTACATTTAGCTGCCTTTCAAGGGCACATTGATTTTGTCCTGGAAATGATGAACTTAAAGTCATCATTCGCAAGAAAGCTAAACCCTGCAGGGCTTAGCCCGCTGCATCTTGCCTTGCTAAATCACCAACCTCTTGTAGTACGTGAGCTCGTGAGAGTTGATAAAGATCTCATTCGCGTCAAAGGGAGGGGCGGTTTAACCCCTCTGCATTTGGCAACCGAAATAGGAGATCTCGATCTTGTAGCTGAATTTCTTGAGGCTTGTCCCGAATGCATCACGGATGTGACTATTCAAGGTGAGACTGCCCTACGAATCGCTGCCAAAAATAATAGCTTTGAAACCCTGGAACTCCTAGTTCGTTGGCTTCAAAAGACTACTCACAAAGATAGTGATGTTTGGAATAAACAAGTTCTGAACAGGAAGGATAAGCAAGGAAACACAATTCTACATATAGCTGCATCCAATAATCACCCCAAGGTAATTAGCTACTCCCTCTCTCTCCAAAGAACTATTTTTTTTTTAATTTAATTATATCACTATCTATTTATTTTAATTAATTATCCTATTACAAAAAATTCAACTTTATCTTTTAACCTTATTTAAAGATAATATAGGGAAATATATAACTTGTTCTCCGATCTTTAATTTGGAGGAAAAGTAACCAAATAACAATTATTTTAAGATAAAAGAAATATATATATTTTTTTAAATCCCAAATCTAGCTCCACTATAGAGTAAGGACATATTCACCCTCAAACAGCTTATTTGATTGAAAAACCATCTTTATTAGGAAAATTTTTATTAAAAAAGTAGTTAAAAAATATTGTACAAAAAGTTAATAAATATCGTATGAAAATTTAAGTTTTGTAATAGAATTTAGTTATAATTTTGCTAGCTTATTAACTTTTCTGTATTTAATAAAAATTGATGTAACAAAATTTAATTAAAAAGTTGTCAAGTGTATTCTACGTAAGTGTTAGAGAAAACTTTTTTCTTTTAAAAGAAGTGTAGGAAAAAAGTTTACAAGTTGAAACTTGTGTTAAGAAAAATAAAAACTAAAATAACACTTACTATAATATTAATATGTGAAAATATATAAATAATCTTATAAGGAGAAAAAGTTAGAAAACTTTAATGAGAAAAGTAGCTTGGCAACCAATCAACCTCTAAAGATAAATCTAAATTGACCCACTAACTAAGTAGATCAAATAAATTGCCTCAAATTTAACTATTAATATCATTTGACGTCAGTTTTCTTACGACCAGCATAAATAAAAAGGTCACATAAGCAAAAACTAACAAAAAGCTAATATAACAACAGCTAAATTTAGAGTCATTTATCCATCCAAATTAGTTGGTAGGATAATTTGTCTCTATATTTAGTTTAAGGGTAAATTTGTGCCTAACCTCATATATACTTGGGGCTAATTTTGAGGGTTTGGCCATATTTTTGGGGGG